ACTTGGGCTAAGGTATAGATCACAAACTCTAAAAATGTCTTCAATTTCATCAATTGTGAAGAGAACTTGTATTTCATAGGATTGTAATAGGACACATAAGTTTGCCTTAACTAGATGAAGTTATAGAAACAAACCTCATATGATTTGGTTGAGTATTGAGAGATTTCTTAAGGTTTTAGTGTGAACAGTTCTCGAGCTAGGTTAGTTGGGGATGATGTAGGAGAGTAAGTTAGAGAGGCAGAGAAAGAGAGGCCATATACCTTCAAGTCTCTCACTTAGTGTGAACAGTTCTCGAGCTAGGTTAGTTGGGGATGATGTAGGAGAGTAATTGAATCACGCGTGTATCAGATAGAGGGCTGAGATTGCGTTAGATGAACTCTTGATGCATAAAGAGCGGGCTGCATGGTAGTTGAGTCAGATGGTTGCATCGAATGGCGGAGTGACGCGTAGCAATTTAGAGCTGCCTAGGATGACGCAGCAACTACGTGTTTAAATAGGAAATTAATTCATTTTTTTATTTATTTTATTTCCATAACTTAGAAAATTTATAACTTGGTATAAAAAATCCGTAAAAATAAAACAAATATACCTTATTTCTCAACAAATAGAGGGAAATAATATGGAATAAAAATAAAAATTATTTGATGTCTATCTTATTTTTAATTAATTAAACAACCCTTGACTATTTTAATTCTAATCAAGTAAATAATAATCACCATGACTTGAAACTTTAGGGGTTGATTCATCATGTTAATAGGGATGTTCTCTAATTTTTTCAAAGTTAGAGAGCATCTCTAGCTTTGAAACCCTTATTTTCAAGCTTAGTTGTCTTTTTTTGCTTAAGTTAATTATACAAATTAAAATATAAAGAAAAAAATATAAGACTTATTTTGGTAGGTTCCTTGTGGTCACAAGACTCTAGTAAAAATATAAATTAAGTTTAAATGTTTATGTAAATTACTATGGTTTATTAAATAATAAAAACTCACTAAAATATAAATGAATAAAATAATTTTCAAAAATTAACAAAAATGATTCCATACTGTAAATAATGATTATTTTAACACTGTAAAAATTTGAAACTCTTTTGAATTAGTTTGAGCACTAAAATCTATTTTCTAAGTAAAATGGCCTTTTTTGCATTAAAATAATTATAATAAATTAATTATAATTAGGAAAATTATGAAAAGTGATTTTTTGAGTTTCTTGTGATTAGGGGCACTTATGAAGAATAGAATTTAGTTTAAAATAATTAGTTCATTTCTTAGCTACTTTTTGAATTAAAAATAATAAAAAATTCCAAAAATATGAAAATGTACCAAATTGTTCCCTGATCACTTGGGACCCTTTAAAATATTTTTCTTAATTTTCCAGATTTAGTTATGCATTTTAAATGTCAAAAATGTATTTTTCTTAATTTTTCATTAAAATAATTATAATAAATAAATAAAAGCCACAAAAATGAAAATTTTATTTCTACGATTTTTTTTGGGCTTAGAGAGATTTAATAAAAATACAAAAGTTGATTTGTGAAATTAAACATTTTTTTCTTTTTATATAATCTCTAAAATCAATAAATAATTATAATAATTAAAAATTAATCTTAAAAAATTATAAAATTTTGTCCAAATGGTCCTCTGACTTAGGTGAACCTCCAATAATTTTCTCATGTGCAAAAACTTTACTTTGATTAACTAAATAAATTAACATTGAAATTCCTATTTTATGAGTTAAAATAATTATATAAATTAAATAAAAATTAGAAAATCATAATTTCCCCTCTGATATCTTAATTGACCCATGTGTGGGATACCATAAAAGTTTCAAATTTATTTAAGTTATATTTGATGAGTTATGAAGTAGAGAACTCTAGTGGCAAAATATTAATTTTGGATTTGGATGCCTTAATTGAAATTTAGGATTAACCAAAGAGGAAATGGTTAATTTTGATCATAGTAAACTCTTTTGAATGATTTAAAACATAATGGGTTAAGAGGTAGAAACCAATTTACTACCTTTTCATGATAAGGGTAGAATTATAATTCTATTAATTATTATAGCATGAAGGTTAATTCAATTGGATGATCCTAAAGTAGTGGGCTCAAGTTAAGCAGATAATAATTCATTTATTTGAAGTCCTTAATTGGTGGTTAGATGATAGCATGATCTTTTAATGAGAATAAATCTCACTTTAATTAAAATTTTAATTATTACAAATTTACCCATGAAATTTTAATGGGCTTAGTAGTGAGCTAGGCTTAATCCAAGATTGTTTAATGAGGCTTAAAAAGAATAATATAACTGGTCATGAACATTTTGAAAACAAAAAAAGCCTAATTTTATCTGGAACATAAAATCTTTAATTACTCTGGGTTTCTCCTTCGGGGCATTTACACACATAACTTTTTAAATAAAACATTAAGTAACTCTTTGGTTACCCACTCAGAAGGGTAATTGAAGTATCAGGGTTTACTGAGCATAGGGTGTATTAAGTTATTGAAACTAAATCTAACTTTGAATGATTAATTGAACTACATAATAAGTTCAAATGAACAAGAAAAGTTGCAAAGGATTTTAAAAGTTGTTTAGGGTCATGCCCCAAACATTTTAGTATCCTTTGGATACTTTGAAGGACACTTGAACTTATTATTTTTTGTTTAAGAAAATCATCCATTAAAACTTTTAGGGACTCACCAAGTTATGACCAAAGACTCGACAACTACACCTTAAACTGGACTTCTTGCATTCCATTCTTTCAAAGCTAATCATTCAGCGGGAGTGCGAGAAGATGATAGATACACATTTACATTTTTGTAATGCAATTTCCATTCATTTTACTTTACTGCATTTCCTACCTGTACTCACTTCAATTACAAAACCTTTTTGAAAATTAAAAATTACAAAATCATTTTTCAAAATTAAATAACATTTTTCAAAAACAACAAAACCAACAATTTCATAACACGTCCTTTTGAATTTACGGGAGTCCCTCGGATGAGGTAACCCACGGTTGCTAACGAGGTCTCCCTAATTTAAATGAGCTTAACAACTCGTTTAAGCTAAGTAAATTCAAAAGAAAATAGTGATACCGAACGAGGGAACTGTGGGAGTCTAACCAGTGTTGCTATAGTCATCTTTAAGCCCCCCACAATATTGATTGAACATACTTGTTATTTAAACATTTGAACCTTTAAACTTTATGACTGTTATTTCACTGTGGAGCTTAGTGCTAACTACGAGGGCAACATTCTACAGCAACAAATCTTTCCGTAGAATTAAATAACAAGTCATAGGATTTTATGGTTGTTTGCCTAGTGCAGCATAAATCCTTGCTTTATCATTAGGCCTTTGCACAATCACGTTGTGAAAATTAGCCATAAGTCGTTTTAGGATTCCGAGGCTGTCGTTCGTTACGACATAAACCCTTTTATCTTCCAGGCTATTTGTATGATTGTGTAATGCAAATGCAAACCCTAAATAATAATAATTGGCAGGATGAAACATTCAATAATTTCCTTCTCAAAATTGAAGCCAAACCATAGGATAACTTAGGAAGTATTTGAGGTTCTCCTCAGGACCAGTGACTACCCCTAGTTTTCTCCTTTTGGATTCTATAACAATGTTCTAAACTTGAGCCTTTCCCATTTGACACTCCATGGTCCAGTCTTTAAAAATTCATACCCTTTGAAATTCTTGAAGACAATATTTTCTGATCTAAATTGAGAGTTTTTTTAGGTGACCTTAGTCATTTAAGATGTAATTAACCATAGGGGCTTGCACCTTATAGAAAACTTTAGAACTCAGCTTAGTATAAACCCTATCTAATCTTTTATATTAGATAGAGGAATTTGTGGGTTAACATAAAGGTTCACAGACTAAAACGGATGTCATATTCTTTATTTTATTTATTCGAGCCTCATTAGCAAGTGATGTGTCTATTACTCGGGGTGGATGCATCATTTGCGGTGTCGTACTCATTTATTTAAACTATTGTTCATATGAAATCAGTTTGGTCTCATATTTTCAAAAATTAAAATATTACTTTCCAAAAATAATATATATTATATTAAATCAAATATCTTTTTCCCATTTTGCTGACCGAGAGGCACGAAGTACTCTTGTGCACCTACGCCACTCAACTAGCTCGCAATCCCACCTCATTATGTTATGGAAGAATTGAGCTTCTTGCTGGGCTGGTTATTCAGAGCTAGCAATTGGTTGCTTCGTCTCTACCTCATCTTCCATGTGATCAATCACTCAAGGCTTATACTCATATCTTCTATTAATAGATTGAATTTATTATAATAAAAATATTTAAATAATTACTTTGTCATATTAAAATTGTTTGCTATTATAATTAATTTCATGAGGAAAATACATAAATTCCATAATAATTTATTTTAAGATATTGCTTCGAAGGTATAAAAATATAAGCTTTAACCTTTCTTTGTTTTGAAACTATGATTAAAATTGAAATTTTGAATTAAATTGGTGTTTAAAACACTTTAGTTGCGACTATTTGTGATGATGATGATGACAACGACCATATGTTGAAGATTATTATTATTTTATATTTGAAAAGTGATGAGAAAAGTGTTAGCCTTATAAATAAAAAAAAATTATATAACAACATAATTTTGTAAAAAAAGGTGAATTATAGGACAAAGAAACCCATCGAAGCAGTCCACCCATGCCCGACGTCTCTTTCCCATTTAATAAATCATAACCCACTACATTTCCGCTACACTTGACCAGTCGGCCCTCCACTTCCCAAAAACCCACTTTAGGCTCCTTTAACTCTTTCATCTACTTTGAGACTTTGTAATCACTAGAGCTAGAGAAATAGGCGAGTTGAGATAACAATTAATGATGGTAAAAAACGTCATAATAATTTTCTTAACATCATCAAGCTATCTAATATTGTTCTTAGCCACTCCTCCCATCCCCTCCTACCCACTTGCACCACTCCAAACGCTTGTCCAAGGCTTGCTTGCTTTAGGATATAAAATCTTGAGACCTGATGAACAAATTAGAAATTTCTTCTAAACTTTTTGAGAACTTGGGATCTCCGGCGACTGGCAAGGAACATCCCTGGTGCATGGCGATTGCAGCCGCCATGAGCAACGATGGTGAGAAAGATGTCGACGGCCACGAGCACGACCTCGTGATGCCCGGCTTCCGCTTCCACCCCACCGAGGAGGAGCTCATCGAATTCTACCTTCGCCGCAAAGTAGAAGGCAAGCATTTCAACGTCGAGCTCATCACGTTTCTGGACCTCTACAGATATGACCCATGGGAACTTCCAGGTTAATATCATGAATTTACTTTATTTATTCCGACAGTTCCGGATCTGATAGGAATGACCATTTCGTTTCAGAATTGGCGGCAATTGGTGAAAAGGAGTGGTTTTTCTATGTTCCAAGAGATAGGAAATACCGGAATGGTGATAGGCCCAATCGAGTAACAACCTCTGGGTACTGGAAGGCTACGGGAGCTGACAGGATGATAAGAAACGAGAGCTTAAGATCCATAGGGCTTAAGAAGACGCTGGTCTTCTACTCAGGGAAAGCTCCTAAGGGCATAAGAACAACTTGGATTATGAATGAGTACAGGTTACCGCAGAGCGAAACCGATCGATTTCATATGGTAATAGTCTTGATTGTTTTGGATTTCAGATCTCCTTGGGATCGCAGACATAATTGGAAATTAATTACCCTTTAAGTTTGGCTTATCATTTTTGTTTCGCTTTCCTTCTTTCTTCGGTGTACGTAGTGTTCTTATATCAGTCTTTTCTGATCCGGTTCTTTCTTTTTTTTTTTTTTTTTTTTTTTTTTTTTTTTTCTGATCCGGTTCTTTCTTTCTTTTTTTTTTTTCTTTTCTTTATATATAGTTTTTGTTGTTCAACCTTGTCGGCGTGGCTGCTAGATTATAGCAGATCTGTGTTATGTTATAATTTGCTTACCTATTAAACATGCTTTGGCATCTTCTTACAATTTATTCCTTGACAACATGTCTTCTTTTAGGGTTTCTTTTTATTCAATTTTTGCCCTTCAATATTTTTGTCTTTCTCAGTTTCTCTTCTTATACATATTAACTAGCTTAGTGAGTATTCTTACATAATTTCAGAGTTTTTCATATTCATATATTTAGGTTTAACATACTGCATCGAAGTGGTATTTTCCAACTTAAAACTAAAAGAACTTGTTCATTTTTAAACATGTTGTTTGGTGTTTTCAATAGCTGAATTCTGGTTTTCATATTACTTCGTTTTTTCTTCCTCTTTTTATGGCAATCTTCTAGTAAAACGGCTCCCTTTTTTTTACTAGCCAGTCGTCAGTTTTCTTCATTCTCCCTGATTTCATAATTTTATCTTCTAGTATTCTTTTTCTATCCCACTTCCCTTTCTTCGCTTAATTTTCCAATCTTCTAGTATTCTTTTTCTATCCCACTTCCCTTTCTTCGCTTAATTTTCCTCCACTAGTATACGAAATAATCGATCCCTTTCATCTCCTTCGGCTATATATTATTAAATCGTTTCATTTTATTTAGTCTTATCTCTAGTTTAAGGTTTTGATTTTCCATTTCATTTTTCATAACTCAAAGTTTATAATTGCTGTAAACAACCAACCAAACAAACAATAATGCCTTATCTTCATTTCTATCTCTAGTTTAAGTTTTGATTTTCCTTTTCATTTTTCATAACTCAAAGTTTATAAATGCTGTAAACAATCAACCAAACAAACAATAATGCCTTATCTTCATTTC